AGAGGTTGCAACATGTGGTAAGGTGGGTGACATAAGGAGAGAAGGGGAAAGCCCCCCGCTGGTAGCCTTTGTAACAGAAGATTCAGTGGTGGTGAGCAAGATGAAATTCCTGGTTTTCATTATGGAAGTGTTGTGTGACATGAAGCAGAATAAGAATAACTCAGATGTGGTAAGAAGTGTGGCAAAGGCTGCTGAGAGGAGTCTTGGGGTTGTAGAGATTGAGCCAGCTACTCTCTATAGATATGTGTTCTCAAGAGATAGAAGGGAAAATAATAATGGAGAACAAATGGAAGATGATGATGAGATTGATAGTTAATCTATTAATGGTTTTTATCCTCCAGTGAAATGCCAGGAGTTTGATAGCAAATGGGCAAGAGTTAAAGAGATTTGTGGATGCTTTTAAAGAAAAAACAGAGTTTATATGTATACAAGAGACATGGCTAAAGCCAACTCTGAGTTTTGTGATACCAGGGTATGTTTGTTTAAGAAAAGCTCAAAATACTTCAGGAGGTGGCTGTGCAGGGTTTATAAGAAAATAAATCCAGGAGAGTAAATGTAGAAACTGATCTTGAGTGTGTCGTGGTAGAGGTATGGAGTAAAACAAGGAGATTTTCGATGATTAATTTTTACAACCCTTCTATTCAGTTGGAAATGGACAAATTAGAAGCGATAATGAAACAGGTACGGTATCCGGTGGTGTGGGTAGGAGATTTTAATGCACATAATCCTTTATAGGGCAGTAAAAACAGGGATTAAAATGGGGCATTAATAGAAGACTTCCTGGACAAATACTCACTTGTGATGCTGAATGATGGAAGGTCAACAAGATTTCAGGTTGGAAATGGAAAACTGTCTTGTATAGATTTAACTTTTGCATCAGCAGATTTAGCTAGATGTGGGAATTGGGATCTTATAGATCGATACACTATGGGGAGTAATCATTTCCCTTTACTAAGTAGGTTTGGAAAAGTCTTGCAGGTAGAGAAGGAGAACATTGGAAGACAATTTAATTTTCAGAAAGCAAATTGGGATAAATTTAGGCAACAGATGTCAGCAGGTTTAGGAGAAGTTTTAAATGAGGCCAGTGTTGACGAGTGGAGTGAGTCTTTCTGTAGTATTGTGAGAAGAGCAGTTGAAAAGTCAGTTCCTGTAAAGGGATATAGGGAAAGGAAGAAAATAGTACCTTGGTGGGATCAGGCTTGTAATGATGCAGTGAGGGCCCGTAAAAAGAGCATATAGGCAGCTTAGGAACAGTCCAATTGAGAGTCATGTCAACCAGTACAAGAAATTGCGAGCAGAGGCAAGGAAGTTATAAAAGGGGCTAAGAAAGAAAGTTGGTGCAGGTTCTGTGGGACAATAAGGACGGAAACAACTGTTAAGCGGGTGTGGGGCATGATACATTATGCCTGGGAATAACAGGAGGCCGAATATTCCGGTTTTGATGAGTGGAGATAAAGAAGCAGTGAGTAATAGGGAGAAGGCTGACCTTCTAGTTGAGACTTTTCAGGGAGTACACAGCAGTAGCAATGTGAGCAACGAGGGGTTGCTGAGGAGAGCAAAAAATATTAAGAATGAAGGTCACAAACTTGAGATGAATTTGGATAACAGTGATGGCGTTAACGTATTTTTTTACTATGCAGGAACTAAAGCGGGCAATAAGACTAGGGCATAACACCACACCTGGGAGAGATGGTCTGGGGTACGAGGTATTTAAGCATATGGAGGACATGGCATTAGAGGAAATTTAGGCGCTGATTAATACAGTATGGGAGGAAAGGCTAATCCCGGCTGAGTGGAAGCATACAGTGGTTATCCCCATTTTAAAACCTGGGAAGGAAGCTGAGAGTCCGGGATCTTATAGACCAATAGCCCTTACAGCAGTTATATGCAAAATAATGGAAAGAATGGTTATAGATAGACTGGTGCATAGGCTAGAGCAGAGAAAGTACTTTTCGGCCTTTCAAAACGGGTTTAGGCTAGGTAGGGCAACGATGGATTCAGTTTTATTATTAAACAAAGAAGTGGTGATTGGTGTGTTCTTGAATATAGAGAAAGCATAAGACATGCTGTGGAAAGATGGGCTAGTAATCAAGTTATATGAAGCAGGGATTCGAGGGAGGATGTTAAACTGGATCAAAGACTTTTTGAGATCCTGGACCATAAAGGTAAAAGTCGAGGGGAGTCTTTCGGGCACGGTTAGTGTTGACAATGGGACCCCACAGGGTAATGTTATTAGCCCCATTTTGTTTAACATAATGGTGAATGATATGTTTAATAAAGTGGATGATGGATTTGGTAGATCTCTTTTTGCAGATGACGGTGCAATGTGGAAGAGAGGCCGTAACATAGGGTATTAGATGAGGCAGATGCAGAGTGCCTTGGATAAGGTGCAGGGTTGGGCTGATAAGTGGGGATTTGGGTTGTCTATGTCAAAGACAAAATATGTGATTTTTGGAAGGAAAAAGAAAGCGGGTACCCAGGGCTATCAATGTATGGGCAACCTCTAGAAAGAGGTAAGGTTTTTAAGTTTTTAGGAGTTTGGTTGGATGAAAAACTGACATACAGAGTGCACATAGGGAAAATGATAAGTAAGTGTGAGAAGGTTATAAATATCATGAGGTGCTTATCTGGGTGTTCTTGGGGGGCAGATAGGAACTCGTTAATGATAATTTATAAGGCCATGATACGGGCAATCTTTGATTATGGGTGTTAGGCATTTGGCTCTGCAGCTTAGTCTGTACTGGCTAAGCTGGATGTTGTTCAGGCCAGGGCTCTGAGGATATGCACTGGGGCATTCCGGACAACGCCGATTCCAGCGTTGCTAATTGAGGCAGGTGAGGCTCCACTGAGACTGCGACGGACAAAATTAGCATTAAATTATTGAGCAAAATTAAAAGCATTTGGAACAGCTCTTCCATCATTTTCCCTGCTAGAGCAGTGCTGAGAGTTTGAAAAGGGGGGGAATAGGATCAATAGGGACACTTATATACAAATAGTAAATCTTCATTTAGAGAAGATGGGCTTAAGTGGGATAGAGGTAGGACCGTCAGTATGCTGGCTAGCTGTCCCTCGATGGTTATGGCCAGAAGCTGACATCGATTTGTCTATTAAAGAGGCCATACAGCCCCGGCTCCCCGGCCTCTGGAGAGGTTGCCACGCCCGGCTCCCCGGTCGCCACGCCGCCCGGCTCCACGCCCGGCTCCCCGGTTGCCACGCCCGGCTCCCTGCCCGGCTCCCCGGCCTCTGGAGAGGTCGTCTCGCCGCCTAGCCCGTCCCTCGGGCCGCCCGCCCGAACTCTCTGGCTTGTCTCGCCTTGCTCCCCGGTCTCTGGAGAGGTCGTCTCGTCCCTTAGCCCAGCCCTCGGGCCGCCCGCCGGACCCTCCTGGCTCCCCTGGTCCGCCCTCGGGCCGCCCGCCGGACCAACCTGGCTCCCCCTGCTCCGTCCTCAGCCTGCCCCCCCTGAACTTCCTGGCTCCCCCTGGTCCGCCTTCTGGCTTCCCTTGTCCGCCCTCGGGCCGCCCGCCAGACCCTCCGAACTTCCTGGCTCCCCCTGTCCGCCCTCGGGTGGCACAGCTCTGTCCTCAGTCAGCCCCCCCGAACTTCCTGGCTCCCCCTGTCCGCCCTCGGGCGGCACAGCTCTGTCCTCAGTCAGCCCCCCTGAACTCCATGGCTCCCCTGCTCCTCCCCGGGATGTCCGCCCGAACCCCTTGGTCCCTCTGCTCCTCCCTCGGGACGTCCGCCCGAACCCCTTGGTCCCTCTGCTCCTCCAGCTCTTCCCTCAGGCACCCCGTCCGTACTCTCTGCTCCCCCAGCTCTTCCCTCAGGCACCCCGTCTGAACTCTCTGGTCCCCCAGCTCTACCCTCAGGCACCCTGTCTAGCCCTGTGTTTTTAGTTCAGCCCTGCCCGTTCCCCTAACCCTTCCCTGTCCTGAAGCCCTCCCTGAATTCCCTGTTTGGTTTTGGACCCTGGACCCCCATCAGCTGGACCCCAATGCGACTTCCTCCTCTCTGTGTTCGTCTGCCAAGCCCCTTGTCCAATTGGAAGGCCTCCGGGAGGCATCCATTGAGGAGGGGGCCCTGTTGTGGTGGCAGCCCGGCTGACGGTGAGTGTCCTGGTTTTTTCTCCTTTTTTATCAGTTTTTCTGCTTTTTTCCTTGGTTTCCTGTTCTCTGCCTGCCTCCCTGTGTTTTCTCCCCTGTGTACTCTCTCTCTCCCTCTGCTCCTGAGCCCAGCCAACTACCTGCACCTGCATCTCCACACCATCCTCGCTTGATCGTTGCTCCATACCCGGTGCCACCCCCACGTTCAGGCTTTCATGTTTCTTGTTTTTTCACACTTACCCTGTGCCTTGTCGCTGTCTTCCCTAACCTTGTCTCTCTGTCTGTTTCCCTCCCAGGTACACTCACTCTCGTCCTCCGTTTGGCTGGGCTCATCCACTGGCCCACTCCTCCTCGGACTTCCCTCACGGCGTCCTCCCGGTTCCCCTGCCTCTCCTCGCTTCCTCGGCCCCTGTGTCCCCCGGCTCCCTGGCCCCCTGTCTCCTTGGTTCCCCGTGCCTGTGCTTCCCCGACGTCCTCCTCTCCCTCCCCTCCAGTCCCTCTCTCCCTTTTTCCCCTCAAACCTCCTTCCCTCAGAGTGCTGCATTTGGGTCCTCTCTGTCCACACACCACGCAATCCCATAACACACATGCTCACATGCTGAAAGTCATTGAGGTTAGACTTGAACTGAGGACCTGGAACTGTTTTATTGCTGACTACAATCATTACTCATATACGTATAAACAAAACTTCTGTAGGGGTGTGTGCTTCTATGCAGGCCTACAAGCTGGCCTTGCTCTTGAACGCACCTCTGTAGCATCAAATTAGGCACTCTCCCTGTTGGGTATGCTTGTATTTTAGATATAACCAACTGGTCTAGTGTATTTTATTTAACTTGTTGTTCAAATACATGTATTTTTTTATTTAATGTGGATACTCTGATAATAAATGTAGATCTTTACCTTCAAAAAGGGGACAGATTTTCCTCCAGCAGGTGATACTTCCCTGTTTAGTGTACTGGCCGAGAGATGTCTCCAGGAGAAACAAGGGGATGCCGCAGGTAAAGAGGAAGAGTACATAAGGGATGAAGAACACTCCTTGTGGAAAATGGAAAATTACATCACATAAGAAGTTTTTAGGTTGAACATGTGTGACATGTCTGTGTGCAAGTGTTTTCTGTATTTGCAGTGTTTCTTTATGACAACTGTGTTGTCAACTTGGTAAAACTTTCTTAATTTGTGTTTAGCTACTGCAGCAACTTCGTCTAAATGCAAAATATGTCTTAACATGGTAAACATGTTTTCTTGATTCACTTGGGTTTGGTGTATTTGCTTGTGGTTTACTAAATTGCATTGCTCGGAACTCTCTTGGCAACTGAACATCAACATCAGTTAGGTGTGAAGCTGTTGCACAGTGGCGAGGTGTGATTTGTTTAACTTAACCACACCCAACAATGTAATGTGGCACAACAGTGCATTGTGAATCGGTGAAAGTGAAATGCTTCCAGAAAAGAAAATTGAGATAACCCTTGTCATAATTACAAATCTTTTCTTTTAATTATGAGAGATGGAAGTCATGCTTATGAGATAAGGCCTAAAATGTTTTTTTCCTTTGTTGAATGTAATATGCTTCCATACAAATTAATGTTGACAGAGAAACAAGCAACTGCTAGATTACAGTACAAGCAGGATTAGTTTGGGTGTAGACTTTAGAAAAGATTTACAGTTTTTGGCAAATCTTGGGTTCCTCAAATGAAGGTAACATTTGCATGGTAGTCTGATTAATACATAAACTTAAAGCTTGCTGTTGGGGCTTTCAATCTTAACTCAATATTTATTTCTTGTTGCCATAAAGTGCTATCACAACTTGAGTTTTTTATACATTCTGGTGCACTTTTGAAGAAAGTAGTTACTTTTCCCAGTGGTGTTCCTGATTTATTTGAAAATAAAACTCACCACCTCCATTTTTGTAGCACAGGTAAGGGAACCTCCACACATTTCCTAGGCCTATGATTTGTCCTGCGACAGCCAAGAGGAACTCAATTTTGCTAGACCATTGTCCTCTGGTCAAGGGGCCGGGTGCAGGATGGTTTTTGCCCATGTCCAGCCTTAACTTGACCTCTGGATTATAAGGTTTATCCATCACACTGTAACGAGAGAAGGGTTAATAGAATTATCTTATTTTTAGATAAAAGACTTAATAGATCAGAGTAGATTATTTCAGAGGCAAAGACAATAATCCTGTGTCTCCAAAACCAAATAATTTTTTGTGGATTTTGAAGTAGCAAATGGTGAGTAAAGGGCACATTCTTAGCATTTACACTTTTCAGTACCAAGTATATGATGCATCAACATAATCACAAACTACAGCAGGAATATTTACATGATTTAATCACAACTTATTCACTTTCAAAATCCACACAATGCCAGCTGTCTTACTGCATTAGGTCAGCAGAGGGTCAGTGTTGCTTGGCATGAGAGTAATTCTTCCATCAATGTTGCTTTTGTGTTTCTGCGTTGGATTTAATGTGGGAGTGAAGCAAATAGACTGGAAAATATGTGTGCTACTACATTACTTTTAAAAAGCTTCAAATCCTGCGATGCACAACACAAGAAGAATTAGATAGTGTTCAAGGCTTCTGCACAGCAAGCTTGACTGGCTAGATTGACTCAATATTTAACATACGCATAACATGCACAAACAATCTTTACATTGATCCCTTAGATTTTTATTTTATTTTTTATTTTATTGTGACCAAGAGACACACTGACAGGACAATACGTGCTCTCTGAATTAGCTCAAACTTAGTTTGGCTTTCTATACTGAAATTTCTTGTTACTTATTGGCCATAACATATCCAATATATCTACAATAAGCTAATATCAGCGGATATTAACAGCCTGGTCGATTTATTTGTCTAGCTCTAGTGTATGCATTGTACAATTTGAGATCATCTGTATTACAGTTTTTCTTGATTGCTTAAACACAATTCTTTATACTATGCCTTGAAACTCTAAACACTACCTCCATAACTTCTCACCCAATTCCCCAAACATCTGCTTATTTTCAGATCAAAATGAAGCTCTCTGCCCAAAACCATTCAATCTTGCTGGAGAACCAAACTTTGCACTCAGATATGACACACAAGCCCTCAAAGACATACACATTGCTACACAGTCTTACACACTGGTAAAATAAATTCAAAACAATACTACAAAACTGGTTGTAAGTAATGTTGCTTGTTGTTCTCCCCTTAAGAAACCTTTTGACACGATGAACACAAAAAAAGAAATAAATGTACATTTGTACATTTTTTAGTCCTTAGTGTACTGTACAGTACAGCACACCAAACAACAAATTATTCTGCCCCAGCATCTTGTATTTGGTCTGGGACAGGCCAGAGATTCTTGTCCTCCACCTCCTACTGTTCCTCTTCCTCCACCTCTTCCTACTCTCCCTACTGCTCTTTCTCCTCCTCCTCCTCTCTGGTGTCCTCTACCTCTACCCTATTTCCTGATCCACTGTTCCAAAACTGAATGAACTGACTCAGGCCTTTTATGTATCTATTGAAGGTTCTGATAGGTGTGTTATAATTCTTTGTGTTTTCACCTGGGTAGTTGTGTACTAAGCTGTCGTGACTTGAGTGAACATTTTTGTGGTGAAGGCAGTGAGAAATTAAGGGATTTGTGTGTAGAGTTTAGGGAAATGGGTGTGCTTTTTGAAAAATTGACTTTGAAATTTTAGTTTCAAAGTCTGGTTATAGTGTTTAAGCAATTGAGAAAAACTGGGATGGCCATTTCATTAACAACCCTATCAAAGGTGGAATAGATTAGAAAAGCAGTAAATATTTATTGTTATGTTTGGAGTGCTAAGAATATATAAGGTCTGAATTTTTTTAATGCATAATTTGTAATTACTTTGTACAGAAAGTAAGTCGCCACATGGTCAGCTTTGATGAACAAAGCTGTGCCAATTAGTGCACTGAGCTTACTAGAATGTGAGAGACAGGCTTGGTTAATGGTTCATACCTACGAGAGTCTGGTACAAGTACATTTGCCCATCCCAACAGTATTAAAAGTAAACATAACTAGAAACTGGTACTAGAAAGTGTTTTGTGATGTTGATTGCTGTTGATTCCAGTAGTATTCCCTTGTTTATTCAAAACTTAACGCTAAACTTAGCAAACGTTATTGCTGATGTAGACTTTTATTAGATTTTGTTAGACTTCATTTTCTCCTGGTTTGTCTGTCTGAAAAATGTTCGGCAGGTGAAAAATTGGTCATATATTTACTTCAGTGACTATGGAATGAACAAGTCATAATCTGTGCTCACGTTCACTTCTCTGCAGACATGATTTTAATGAAGTGTAAAAAGCAGAATGGATGAGATTGAGGAAAGTTTGTACTGTGCTAGTTTAGATGATAATACAAAAGAAAGAAAGTCACACCGTATATTGTTTGTAATTTTTATGTTATGAAGAGGAGCGATTTTTTTAAATTGAAAGACGTGCCTGTCATGGAGGCAGTAGGTATAACACTACAGGGATAGTTCAGGATTTCTGAAGTGGGGCTGTATGAGGAACTTTTCCATAGTTACCTACAGTAGATGGCACAGATGAACTGTCCAAAATAGAATTTTCCATTTGTGATAAATAATTCTCTTCTATTCTATTCTTTTCACAGATTGTCAGAATCCTGTTGCCATGTAGGGGCAGTTATTTCCACTGAAACTGATATTAAGATGCGAGATACATCCTCCTGCACAACAGAAAAATGCAAGTGAATGATTGATTACATATAAAATGTTGTTTGAATGTACATATCATTATTGCTTTTGTTTTGTACCCTAGTCTGCTTAGGGAAATGACAGTAACTGTCCATTTCTAAAACACACTTATGCAGATAACTTAGTGAAAGCAAGATCAAACACAATAGTACAATTTGTGGTTGCAGTCATATCTAAAATTTCCATCTTATGGACCACAGAAGTATGTTAGAAATGGTCAGTTATTGTAGTTTCAGGCAGTACTTTATAATCTCTATGCTTTTTACATTTTTCAGATTTCTAGCACTTCTGTAGCTCTTATAGACTTCTCCTCTGCAAAATCAAGTTAACTGAACAACCTTAGGTTGTGAAACCAGTTCAAGGTCCTGGAGTGACGAGAGGGTCAGAAATGTATTTTAGGTGTAAAAGCAGAAACTGTCCAAAGATTGCTAAGCTGATGGCTACACACAAGGAATGTGTCTCCAAATCTTGTGTGCTGCCTAAAACTGTTTTTGAATATAAAACACCAGAAACTCTTCAGCTACCCCCAAAGAGCAAGGAGAGCTACCCCAGGATTTCCAGCTAGAAAAGCCAACCCCTTTTCAGGTCAAAGCTTGACAAAGCGCTGTATGAATAACTAGCCCCAAGCTTAAACATATTATTTAGACTAACCCTCTAAGATCATCTGAGAGCTTGGTTAAGGCCATATGTTATCATATGTTAACAAGTTCACCACAGTTGTACAAGGTATTTAGGGTTTGAATTAGGAGAAGACAAAGGTGAGGGTAGCGCAAGGGTCAACATCAGGTTTAGGCTTATAAGGCAATGGTTAGGCAGGGGTAGGGTATAGGTGGTAAGTATAGTATAGTGTATTAGTATAGGGGTTAGGGGTTATGATAATTGTCAGTACCTAAAACATTGAACTGTAATAATGTTGCCTACAATACCCACTCCAAAATTTCTAAATCCAGCACAAAATATTGATTACCATTTACATTTGCTCATTGTTTCTGTGTACTGTTTACAGCTACGGATGCAAACATGAGGCACAAACCAGAAGAGAGTATGAGAAGCTGAAGGGTTTAGAGGAGGAGGGTCTCTCCTGTATGGAAAGTGGTCATACATAGGAGGCTCACCTGATGGGATTGTCAATTGACATGGAACTGGGATTTGCAAAATAAAGGTAATATTAAGTTTGAAATAAATTCATAATTTCACTTTACTCTAAAGAAAAAAGCATTTAAACTGTGTAAAGATATTATAGGGCTTTTCCCTATCATTATTCAAGAGCGTGGTCTCAATTTGAGAGCATGAGTCACGTTCAGATTTTGTTTTTGTTTCTGCTCTTGCACTCAAATACCTCCTGCTTGCTTGTTGATTTAATACTTGCACACAGATAACTGTAATTAAACCGCTTCTGAAAAAGCCCAAACTTGATCTGGATGTTTTAGCCAACTATAGACCTATATCTAACCTTCCATTTCTCTCTAAGGTTCTGGAGAAAGCAGTTGCTAAACAGCTGTGTGACTTTCTACAGAGCAATAGTTTATTTGAAGATTTTCAGTCAGGATTTAGAGCTCATCATAGCACAGAGACAGCACTGGTGAAAATTACAAATGACCTCCTTATTGCATCAGACAAAGGACTTGTCTCTGTACTGGTTTTATTAGATCTTAGTGCTGCATTTGATACCATTGACCATCAGATCCTATTGCAGAAACTGGAACATTTCATTGGCATTAAAGGAACCGCTCTAAGCTGGTTTAAGTCCTATTTATCAGATCGATTTCAGTTTGTACATGTTAACGATGAGTCCTCCATGCACGCCAAAGTTAGTCATGGAGTTCCACAAGGATCTGTCCTCGGACCAATCCTCTTCACTTTATATATGCTTCCTTTAGGCAATATTATCAGGAATTATTCCATAAACTTTCATTGTTATGCAGATGATACTCAGTTATATCTATCGATCAAGCCAGATGAAACTCATCAGTTAGCTAAACTTCAAATGGGCCTTCAGGATGTTAAAACCTGGATGACCTGTAATTTTCTAATGTTAAACTCAGATAAAACTGAAGTTATTGTTCTGGGGCCTAAGCACCTCCGTGACGCATTATCTAAAGATATAGTTTCCCTTGATGGCATTGCCCTGGCCTCCAGCACCACTGTGAGGAATCTTGGCGTTATCTTTGATCAGGACATGTCGTTTAAGTCTCACATTAAGCAAATTTCAAGGACCGCCTTTTTTCACCTACGTAATATTACGAAAATCTAAAAATGATGCAGAAAAACTAGTCCATGCATTTGTTACTTCTAGGCTGGATTACTGCAATTCCTTATTATCAGGCTGCTCGAAAAAGTCCATTAAGACTCTTCAGCTGATCCAGAATGCTGCAGCACGTGTTCTGACAAGAACCAGGAAAAGAGATCATGTTTCTACTGTTTTAGCTTCTCTGCATTGGCTTCCAGTAAAATCCAGAATAGAATTTAAAATCATTCTTCTCACCTACAAAGCTCTTAATGGTCAGGCACCATCTTATCTTAAAGAGCTCATAGTACCTTACTACCCCACCAGAGCACTGCGCTCCCAGAATGCAGGGTTTCTTGTTGTTCCTAGAGTCTCCAAAAGTAGACTAGGAGCCAGAGCGTTCAGCTATCAAGCTCCTCTCCTGTGGAACCAGGTTCCAGTTTGGGTTCAGGAGGCAGACACCATCTCCACATTTAAGAGTAGGCTTAAGACTTTCCTCTTTGATAAAGCTTATAGTTAGGGCTGGCTCAGGTTAGTCCTGAACCATCCCTTAGTTATGCTGCTATAGGCCTAGACTGATTTCCTATGATGCACTGAGCTCCTCTCTCCTCTACTTTTTTCTCCCTCTGTATGCAACCTCATCCCATTATTGCATGTTACTAACACAACTTCTCCCCTTTCTGGTAGTCTTGTGCTTTCTCGTCCCTCTCCTCTCTCCTCCTATCACTTCCTGCAGGTTTTCTGGCTCTGGAGCTGTGGAGTCTGGATCTGTGGCTGCGGGTCACCTGCTGCCCCCGTGTTCCTGCTCGACACCTTCTGCTACAACAACTATTGTTACTAGTCCTATTATTATTATTGTTATTATAATCATTAACATTACGATTGTTATCATTAACACTACTATAAATATCTATACCATTTTTCATTTAGTCTATAGCAACATCACCTTTACTGTCTGTACCTCTGTGTGTGTATATTGTGTAGGCTGCCTCCCTCCACTCTCTCTCCTTCCATCCCTCTCTTTTTCTCTCTTTTCCTCTCTTGCCCTCTCCCTCTCTCTCTCTCTTACCTAGTCGCCTAGTGCTTGCTCTTGGTGGGAACTGTTGGGCTTCTGTAAATAGCATCATAGAATATGGTCTAGACCTGCTCTTTTATCAAAAGCCTGTGAGATAACTGTTTTTGTGATTTGGCGCTATATAAATAAAATTGAATTGAATATACTGATCCTTGCACAGATTTCCTGCACTCTAGCTTCAGCTCTTTTTCTGCCACTTAGGTTTTCTCTGTGCACTCCAGAGATGTCTAATCTCAGATTTTAGAAATAACCCAGTCAAAATTCCCCAACCAATAGAATGTATGGCATTTGTTGCAGGAGAAGTAGAATATATTTTGTCCAAGACTTCCATATGTCTTTCATAGGAAGCGACAGAAAACCTATTAAAAGAATAACACAATTGTTTGGAACTAAGTTGTGTCTTGTAGTCATAATAAGTCATAATCCCTTCCTGTGTAAAGCCTATGTATGGAGTATGGACTGCTGATTCCAATTTCTTAAATTTAGGGTCAATTGATATTTAAATGATGGTAACTTTACATACATTTTCTATGTGAGCTATACTAACTTAATAAATGACTTCCAGGGACTTCAATCTGCCCAATCTTTCACTTTCACTTTCTCTTCTCAGTTATAACAGTGTCAAATAAAAAGTTATGACAGACAAACTTAGACCTACTGTGAAAAGTAGATTCATTGTTATTGTCTATTGTCCATCTTCATGGAAAAGTTCTGCTTCAACTTCATTAACAATCAATAAGGCATACGCAATTTCTTCAGCCATAGCTATCAGAACATTGTCTGCAAACTACAGATAGCCTACAGTTGGATCTAACAGGATGTAAATATTTTTGTGAATGGTGTATATTTTTTGAAGGCTGCTGGAAACTGTACGACTTTACTGCAGCTTTTTGGCACCACCCCCTGTTGCTGCTGCACGATCCCGTCAACTTTCCAGGCGAAGCAATGACGCCACCGGATAGGTGACGGATAAAACTTAAATAAGTCAATGTTGACTTTTGGTTTCACATGGGACATGAACCCTGGTGTCTTGGGTGAAAGTCCTATGTTCCATCCATCCCAACACCTTCACAGGTAGACTTTCACCCTCTTTGCTGCTCTTTATACTATGTCACCTGACTTCCTAAAGGCTTTCTGGAAGCCCTGTGTGTTTCACACAGACACTAACTTGCGTCTGTATGAGGCCACATCCACACTAACGTAGTTTTTAGAACAAATACATTCTCTGTCCACACTAGCGTTTTAGCTGCGTATCAGAATTGATCTTTGTCTATATTAAAATGACTAAAAAAGGTACATCTAGTGGCCATTCACGTACACTGGGCATGTGTACGTGAATGGCCACGTATGGAAAGATTTGGCGAAAGACAAAAGTAATGCAGACAAAGTACAGTGGATATTTTTTTGCATGGACCAACAAAGAACTGGAATTGTTACTGAAAGGAACACGAGAGTCCAAAGTGACTGTGGCAGCGGAAAATAGACTGGGAGTCGTTGCAAAGTAAATTCGGCGACATGCACAGTAGAGGCTATCGACTAAGTGTTATTTGCAGGGTACAAGATATTTTAATAAAAATACCAAAACTAAAACACTGTCAGTAACGTTGTGTTTTTGCATTACATGACTGATAAGACCCAATCAGGAAGCCAAATGTGAGTGTCTGTTTTTGTCTGTCCGCACTAAAACACTAGTTTTAAAACTTTTCCATTTTAATGTCTTCATGTTCACTTTTCCATCTTCACACAATTACTTCTGTCACTTTTTGAATGTGCAAGGAAGTACAACACATTTAATGATATTCAAAAAGAAGCATTTTTTGAAGGTTTGCCCCATATTTAACAATAGTCGCGTATCGCTCCTCTCTATGCGGGGAGTCTTCCTTGCTCGAATGTGGCTTTTTGAAACAGCCTAAACACTGTTACCTTTAGGAGTGTTTGTATGACAAAAATTTGTTTGTTTCGACCATACCTCTACCTTCATTGTGTGGTGCTTCTGCGTCTCTCTGAAAATGTTCGTTCTACCAGTCCACTGCCATAGTAAGGTGAGACAAAAGACCAGCGCTAATAGAAGTTGTGGGAATACAATGTCTTTCTTGGATTTCAAACTGACTGTGCCTATCAATATTGGTGTCCCCACACATTAGATCCCTCCTGTTTCTGTTCACTAGAGAAATTCCACCCCTTGGTGTGAGGGTCAAACCAGGGAAAAGATGTTACCACTGCTCTAAATCTTATGGCTTATCATGAGGCAGCAAATCTGGTTATTTGACAAACCATTAACGTTACTTTAGCTCTAGCAACTTTATCATTGATTATAACAAGGTGATAATGCTTTAATGTCCAGTCCTTAACCCAAATATGAGCAAAAAAATCACAGAACTTGAGACAAAACGTTGCATTTGGCATTTTGTTGGCAGTTACCACGAAATCAGCAATGTCAGTGAGATTCCTCTACTGCACCAACCCTCAGGAGCATGGTGGAAACTTACCAGTTGAATATGCATGAACAATACTAACAAGTGGATAGATGTAAGGAGGCATGACTCAACAAGACTGATGAAGTTATGCTGCTGCTTTTTGTCAATAACTCAGATAATACTTTTGCTCTTCTTTACATGTGACCAAAACTTGGCAGAATAAGAAATAGTTGTCAGCCACTGCTTTTTTCTTTTTTTATCCCATTCAACCACCAAGAAGGCGTGGGTTAAGTGGTAAATTATTTTAAATTTTGATTTGACCATGCTTTTAAAACAGCTTAAGATAATATTCATTATCTACATTCTGTTGTTCTGCTGTAATAAAATCAATAGCTGATTTGCTTTTAGGATTTCAGATGCAAATAAATAATGAAAACTCTTTTAAGAATTTATGCATGCAGCATGTATTATTTGAAAACAGTCACAGCAAAAAAAAATAAATCTGTCAAAAATTGTCAAAGTAACTAACTAACTAACTAAATTTAGAGTTAAGATTTCGTTATTATGCATTTGTAAAAGAGAAATGTATTTGTTTACAACAATAAGAGCTCTTAGCAGCACTGATCATAACCTGAGGTTACATTAAACAAGGGAAATAGCTGATCTCACTGCAGCGTAGCTGGTAACCTTTGGCCTACATAACACAGCTACAAGCGCCAAGCATAAGTGCAACCACAAAAGCCCAGCTGTCACTGAACTGCAAGAATACAGTTTGTTTCCTGTTCAAGTAATTAAACCACAGTAGTATACATTCACAATTTCTACAAAGGACAAACATAAAGACATAAAAAACCTGCTTGTGACCATATGTGAAAGGAATTGATAAAGAGTACCTGAGAAAGGTTGTTTCACGTCAATAGTCTGTGTTTCTGTAGCCCAAGGTGGGATTCATTCGGTGCCTTTTGGGGAAAAAAGTCTAGATCCCCAAGCCTCCCCTGGACCAGTGTTCTTCTCAGCTCCGACCATGAGTGAGCCCATGAGTGAAAGTTTGAGAGAGCTGTGTTTGTGTGACAATGAGGGAGAGAGAAAGAGCAAGAGGGACAGAGTGAGAGGGGGGGGGGGGGGATGTTATGCATTTCTGAATGGGCAACTTAAGGCGGAGACTGTTGAACGAGGCCACATGGTCTCACAGTAAAGAGGAGGGGTTTTGTACTGTAGCAAGCCAGCAGCATGTGGGTGACAATAGGTTGTCAGTATGTTGTCCAGATCTGAACAACTATCATGATCCACAGAGAATGAAACTATTCATTACATCTAGCGCCACCAACAGGATGGATGTAGAATGTTTTTTTAGTGAAATGTCTCAACACTGAAATTAATAGATAGCCATGATTCCCAAATGGTGAATCCTAATAACTCGACCCCTTAACTTTTCATCAAGAGCGATCATCAGGTCATTTTTTTATTTTATTTGTCCAGTTCTGCAAAAACTGTGACATTCCCTTTAGGCCTGTCCCCGACTAAGGATTTACATAGTTGAATCAGAATCGTCAAGTCCTGCCTATTGTTGACTGATAGTCGAATCATGTGTGTTTTTGTGCGCGGCGACTGCGAGCAGGGGGGGGGTTACATGCGGTAGGGTTTAATCTTGACAAGCTGCAAAGCTGAAGTCTCTATTCATTCAACTTACACTGTAAATTTCCAGCTCAACTGAGGCTTTTTGAAGACCCTTTTCTCTCTCACTCTCTCGCCTGTCATTCACTGGTCTTGTGTGAGTTTTGCGTGCATGCCATTGTCGTAGCCGGCTATTTAAAAACGATATAATATTCTTTGTGTGGTTCATCAACAGTGATAAATTATCCGAAAGTCCCGCGAGGTGCTGACAACTCGGCACAACACCAGTGAAGTTGGGGCTTCGTCTCTTCAGCAAGTGTTCCTCTGCTCCCCTCCCACTACACACAAGCTACACCTACACATGCGGACTGGCCCAAAAGTCCTGCCTATAGTCGACTGATAGTCGAATCATGTGTGTTTTTGTGCACGGTGATTGCGAGCCGGGGGGAGGGGGGTGTTACACACGATAGCTCCGCTTTAATCTTGAGAAGCTGCAGAGCTGCAGTCTCTATTCATTCAACTTACACTGTAAATTTCCAGCTAAACTGAGGCTTTTTGAAGACCCTTTTCTCTCTCTCTCTCTCGCCTGCCATTCACCAGTCTTGTATGAGGCTTATTGTTGACCATTTTCTCTCTCTCTGTCTCTCTCTTGCTCGTCTGCCATTCACCGGTCTTGCGCAGAGTTTTACGTGCATGCCGTGCTGCCGACAACTGCATGCACGTCGCTGTTCCTCGCGGGTCTATTTCAAGTAGCCGGCTATTTAAAAACTATATAACAATCTTTGTGGGGTTCATCAACGGTAATACATTATCTGAAAGTCCGGCGAGGTGCGGACAACTCGGCACAACACCAGTGAAGCTAGAGCTTGGTCTCCTCAGCATGTTCCTCTGCTGCCACTGCACACATACACGCTACGCTTACACATGTGCACTGACGACCCAGGGTTAGGATTACAATTTTGGATTTACTCACGTACTTTAAAAACATTTGTTAACAGTTTTATTCTTTTTACATGTTTATTTATCATTAAACGTTGAAATGTATATTGTAATAGGCTGTATATTCATACAATATAATATCATCACAGAGTATGGTCTAGACCTGCTCTTTTATGAAAAGCGCTGTGAGATAACTGTTGTTGTGATTTGGCGCTATATAAATAAAATTGAATTGAATTGAATATTAACTTATTGGAAGAAAACTGGTACTTCTATGTAAAATCAGACATTGAGCACCCCCATATCGCCAAAATGGCATGATCCTTGTTTCACTGTGAAGCATAGACTGTGAGATTGACAGTCGAATCGGGCTCCACCCATCGAAGCATCAAATCTTATTATTGGGGGCCAGCCCTAATTCAAATTAGGATTGGGTGATGTACAAAATTGGCATTGGACGATGTCTACAATGAAACATCGGGATGAAAGATGCCGCGCACCTGCTGCTGTGAAAAAGACTCACGAGTGGAAAAATCCAGAAAAAAGACGACATCTTTTCGGCCACTTTATAAAACATAACCTACTGCTGATGGAGAAACTCAGGAGGAGCAGACAGGGAGAGAGAGACAGAGAGAAGGGATTAAAACCACCTCATACCTGGCACCTATTTCTAGGAAAAAACGCCTAACATATCCAAAATAAATCAGTAATCTCCTCAACCATTAGGCCTGGATGCATAATTCTGGTCTCCTTTGAAAGGTCAGAAGCTAAAAAATATAAATCCATTGTAGATTAACATATTTATTTTACCATTACAGACTACAAGGATATGAAATACAGAAAAGAAATATAATATTTTCATCCTCGCCTGGTAAAAAAGGTTTATTTTGATGCAATAAACCATCAAAACCATCCTAAGGTAGACTATAATGCACCTGAATATCTTCTAATACACCTACAATACAAATGTAACTGTAAATTTGATGAAAAGAAACTGATATACAGTTATTACACAATCTTTCAAAAATATACCAGGCGAATGTCCATGTTTTGGCCATATTTACTGTGGTCTCCATACAACCACGTTCCAAATAACATAAAGCTTCCAAAACATTGAAATATTGATAAAAACAGTCAATAAAAATGACCAGTCATACACTGAGCCTAAGTGCTCAAACAGAAACTAACATTCACACTCATTCATACACTGGCGGAACAGCCGCCAGGGGCAAATCGGGGTTCAGTATCTTGCCCAAGGACACTTTGACACACAACCAGGGGGAGCCTGGGATTGAATCGCCGACCTTCCGATTAACAGCCAACCCGCTCTATCTCCTGAGCCACAGCCGCCCCCGTACCGGGTCAATCCGTTCCCATTGCGTTAAAACATGGTATTTTTGTGGGGAATCCAATTAAGAAATATGAAATTCCACATAATTTCTGAACACTGTTATAACCACATTTGTGAATAATAAGTTGGAAAACCTGGAGCAGATTTTGAATAAACTGCACCAAAAAAGCTAAACTTGTTAAATAAGTCTACTGGGTTTGAATTATAACCATTAGATCTGGGAAAAGTCATTTGGTTAGTTTTGATGCTCTCCACAATGATTTTCCATTCATGGCGCAACACCAAGCTGTTTTGAGCCTCACCACCTTATAATGGCAGGAAAACACTGTTAATATGACCTCAGAACCATTACAGATAGGACTGTTCATGCCTTTTGTCTCTTAATTTACTGCTTTATACATTTTCAGAAATTAACAAATAATAGGTTATTTCTAACCTGTTCCACAGCGGCTGAAACATTTATTATTCCAAAAGGAGACTTAAGACTTCACTGTACTTTTACTCTTTACTAAAGTATTTTTTGGCCAGTAATCCACTTTTAACTTAGCTACATTTCCTATTCATACCTTTGTTACTGTAAAGGCAGCCAGGTTTTATTGTTTTTGAAATACTTACTTTTATTTTGACATGACAAAACCCGGAAGTAGGGCCTGTAGGTCAGTAAGCTTCATGAGAGAAAAAGACGTACCTGCAGTGGTGAGGTTACCTGCTAGTTTGTTTCTTTATTGTTACTCCATATGTTGTGGTGTTTGCTACAACTGTGTAAGTTGAAGAATCATATTCTTTGACTGTGAAGATTGCTTCTGGGAAATGACTCAGTTGTTGAGTTGGTTGAGAAGCAGGCTAAAGTGGTCAGTATTACTGTGTTCTTTATTAGCCCTGACTACAGTGCTAATGCTATTTATGCAATGATGTCAATATTGATGCTGTCTTTTATTTTGTTTACCTGAACTTTTAGTTCTACAGTGTTAATAAACATCTGTGAAGGAACCGGAGTCTCGCATTCAATCAATGGGCGGCACAACGGTCTGTTAGCTGCTATGCATTTTGCTACATTATAGGGGCCATGTATAATGTTTAGGGGCCTCTAGCTGTGAGGTTTCAGATTGCAACCACTTTGTTTCCACGTGTGTGCTTGAGCTAATGAACGACCACTTGGCATTGGCCAAAGCAGACATAACAAGACACAGCATCACACAAAATGCTGGAAACTCAGGTAAACTCTCACTGCAATATTACAGTAATATTTTTATCATCTTGACATTAAACTACTCCATGCTAGTTGCATGATAATGTTACTGGCGCCAGACCTAGGCAGCAAAGGTTACACAGGCTAGGAAGCACTGTGTAGCCACTGTGGATTAATAGAGAGATGACCAAAGTTAGCGTCTTGCTCAAGCCAGAGCTCGTTTATTTATGACTACAATCACATACTGTCTCAGTCACATTATCTTCAGCTTCCTTAAAGTGCATGTTACCAATACTAAACATTTCACAAATAAACAACAAAAGATGTAATCAAACTGACAATATACACTATATAAAGCATTCTACCTTACGGAAAATAACTACACATGACATCAAAATAATTTAACAGATATTCCACATAATCAAAATTGACTTAACTCAAAATACTAATATGTAACAAAATAATATATATCAAAACACACATTCACTTGTTAACACATTACATTATATTTCTGCTAACATTAATGGTAACACTAGCATGAAATACACATACATTTTTCTACACATTTCTTGAACGTCACACTCTTTCCTACACTTGGACTTAACTGCAGCGCGTAACAATATGGCGGTACCACGACACGCTCGTGTGTGAAAATCGAGGTGAACTTGTTTGAATATGGCATCTTTCCCCTGACCATTTACTCACTACTGGCTGGCTAAAACTCTTAACAACGTCCAGAACACATATTCATCTGTTACAGAATGTTAATGTTAGTTACTCACACTTACAAAACTACTGTGTGAGACTGAAGTTCATGAAAAAAACTACTTAACTGACAACGCTCGTTGAAGCAGTTAGCTACAAAACGAAGCTTACTACACTTTACACACATCTTGAAATCATCTTACAACCCTACAGAACATTTTATACAGCATTCACATTACATACTTATCCAAGCTAAACACAGAAAAACTAGTTTTACTGTACCTGT